GTATTGACATGTTCAAAAGTGCTTGTAGAACTAAAAACTCTTTCCGAAACATCAACAATGAAACGACAGCCCTTGAAGAGTGAATGGCTTTTTAGTAACTCTATACATGTGTGAAGATCTAAATCTTTGGATACAAGCATTCCCTTGCTTGTTCCCAGATTGATATCAAACCATATCATTGCTTCAAACTTGTCTCTATCCAATTCAATAACTTCAAAGACCTGGTTAATGAAATCTTCAAATCGAATTGCCTCAGGTACTAGAACAAGCTTTGTTTGATGATCAAGATACTTATAGTCTGCAGTCCATCTACCATTAAAAGCAACTATAATACATATTGTATCCATCCTGCAAGTCAAGAAAATGGAAAATTCAGGACATATTTATACATCAATCGTGAAGTTAAGGACACGATGTCCTAAACTTTATCAATACAAGTTGCAAACACAGGACATTGTGTCCTTAATATTTAGAACAACAGTCATGAAGTTAAGGATATCATGTCCTAAACTTTATCAATACAAGTTGCAAATACAGGTCATTATGTCCTTAATATTTACACAATAGTCATGAAGTTAAGGACATCATGTCCTAAACTTTATTAGTACAAGTTGCAAAAACAGGACACTGTGTCCTTAATTTTTACATAGTAGTCATGAAATTAAGGACATCATGTCCTAAACTTTATCAGTACAAGTTGCAAAAACAGGACACTATGTCCTTAACTTTGATGTGTGCAGTCAAAGTGTTAAGGACATGATGTCCTTAACTTGGATGTGTGCAGTGAAAAAGTTAAGGACATGGTGTCCTTAACTTGGATGTGTGCATTGTAAAAGTTAAGGACATGATGTCCTTAACTTCGATGTNGGACACTATGTCCTTAACTTTGATGTGTGCAGTCAAAGTGTTAAGGACATGATGTCCTTAACTTGGATGTGTGCAGTGAAAAAGTTAAGGACATGGTGTCCTTAACTTGGATGTGTGCATTGTAAAAGTTAAGGACAAGTTGTCCTTAACTTTGATGTGTGCAATGAAAATTTTAAGGACAAGTTGTCCTTAACTTTGATGTGTGCAGTGTAAATGTTAAGGACAAGCTATCCTTAACTTTGATGTATGCAGTGAAAACGTTAAGGACATAGTGTCCTTAATATTTAGAACAACAGTCATGAAGTTAAGGACATCGTGTCCTTAACTTTATTAATACAATTTGCAAATACAGGACATTATGTCATTAATATTTAGAACAACAGTCATGAAGTTAAGGACATCGTGTCCTTAACTTTATTAATACAAGTTGCAAAACATAGGACACTTTGTCCTTAATATTTTTTAGAACAACAATCATGTTAAGGACACCAAATCCTTAACATTATGTCCTCAATATTTACAGAACAATTACAGAGTTAAGGACGTGATGTCCTTAACGTTATCAATACAGAAAAGAAAAAAAATCAAATTCCTAGCATCTTATTCTTTGGTAACAAAATAAAAATCCACACAAACACATAAAAGCATATAGAGATATCTGAAACTTTAGAAATTACTGTAATTTTATGGTGAATTTTGGACGAGAAAGTTGAATTCTGAACTTAGACTAGAAGTTTGAAATCGGAAGAGAAGCTTCTACAATTTTGGACGATCACAACAATTCTCTGCACGTAAGTTTGAGCTGCTGCTAATCGTAAATAAAGAGTGTATGTATCAGCGAAATTCTATATAGTATAAGGGTATTTTCGTCCGGACGGGTAAAAATTTATTAAAGCAGTGGCTAAAGACTAAATACATTTAAAACAGTGGCTTAAAAGTAAATACATGTGTTATTACTGGCTATCTGTGCACATCTCCCGCCTAATTAACTAGGAAACAAGAAATATCTAAAATACTTTTAGAACACAAAAATACTTTTCTGACTCCTACATAACAAAGAATTAGCTTTCCATATTATTAAACGAAATAGACAGTAGATACGAACCTGCAAAAGCCTCACAAAGATTCTTCAACCCTATATCAATGGTATTCCAGTAGTGTTGCCTCCATTTCATGTATTCTTCAAACCGCAAATAAATGGCCAGCTATCGACTGATAGACAGAGGCGGATCCAGGATTTAAATTTTATGGGTTCAACTTTTAAGATTTTTAACATTGAACCCATTATATTTTTAAAGTTATGGGTTCAAATCAATTATTTTTGCAATTTTAATGAATTTTTACACATAAATTTTTACTCAACGTCGAAAGTTATGGGTTCAATTGAACCCATAACTAACACACTGCATCCGCCTCTGCTGATAGATAGAATGTAAAGAGATTCACGTGAAATTACATAATGTGCGAACATATTATAAGAAGTACTTTAAGAATAAATCAAGAGCCAACACCAAATCTTAGTAACAATCTCTACGTATCTGTAATGTTATTGGTTCCAAATCGCTTCAATCAGTAAGGATCTCAACTAGAGGAATAGTATCACTCGCCTTACGCACGGTCAAAGCTTGATAAAATACTAATATCAGTAGTTTGAAATTTTTAATTAGTAAAGAAAGCTACAATTTTAGGAAATTCAAAGGAGGGAAGCCCTAAAACCTTTCAAGCAAAAAAAAAAAATCGAATCTCCAAACTAGTGCAAAGCTCTCCATATTATTTGATAGCCTTAATTTGTAGAGAGCGAATATATTAAGGAGCCAGAGTCGACCACTTTTGAAAAGTCGAACGGGATTTGAGAAAAGATGGAATAGATTTGCGAAATACCTGCATCATAGGCTTCTATTTGGTTTTGGTATTCAATCGGGGGTTTTGGTGCTTCTACGAATTGGGTGTCTTCTAGTGGCAATATCTTGGCTTATCATTTTAAGGTAATAAATTTCATTAAAAAGGGCAAAATAGACGCGCGTATACAAAGAGTAGAAAACCTTACAAGAGAACATGGTGTTCTACGAATGACACTCAATCTTCTATACAAATAAGAACTTCATGGGTGCACCCAAAAATAAATAAGTGAAAAGAGGCTACTCCTCGAGCTTACAAGATCTTTCTCTACTCCATCAAAAGCTCTCATATTATTCTCCCTCCAAACAACCCACATGAGTGCTAGAGTGGCCTTTGATGGTTCTAGTTTTCTAGACTTTTTGGTCTTATGCTTTGTTTTGTATTGCTTTTAGAAGAGTACTCACTTATTCTAATTGTACAAACAACATTTAACTTACCTAAAAAGATTATTTTAACCTCTTATTTTGTTCCGAACTCTTTTGTTGATAATAAAATTTATGCATCCAGTAGCTTTTCAATTCTAGTGCTAAATATAAAGAATGATCTAACAATTAAAAAAATCAAACATTAGTTGTAAATGTTAGTAATATCGACCAATAATATGACATTTGATATAAAAGTCACAATGCTTTCGACATTTTGCATCAAACGCCGTTTTTACAGCATTTTTATAGGTGTCATTAAATTCTTTTTTTTCTAACATTTATTTCAAATGTCACTAAATAAATGCCGTTGTATCATCACTTTCTTGTAGTGATAGTTGTACAAGTCAAGATGCACGACACAGAACTTGGTAATTAGGTCTGAGTATAGCATATGCAATGGAAGCGTCAGCTCTGGTTTAAAACAAATATGATCTATCGTTGATGAATGTTAAATCTACAGAGAGAGAGAGAGAGAGATACCATCATCAAAATATACTTAAGCGATACAAAAAAATGATCATTGACTTACCGGGCAGCCAAATTTGATTGCTCCGCCACATTAACCTTTGGTGACCAAGATAACCTAAGAACGCAATCAAATATTTTAGCCACATGTCAAATGGTTATTATTATAAGGTCAAACATCACAACAATAACTGCCTTCTTATAGTAAATAATATGCCAGAGTAACCCTACCTCAGTTTAACATCACCAGTTCCAAAATAGTGTACCAGCTGAACTATTTAAGAAAATAATAATGACCAAAGTTATCAGTATTTGCCAGGTAAAATAACTAAACCATCAGCAGCCACCCTTGCCAACTCTGGAAGAGTCTTGTTAGATATCTTGGAGATCATTAATCCACTGCATCCAACACTATGACAAGAGAGAACGACTTTGAAATTTGAAAGGTAGGGAAGTAGAAATTTGATATTTGCTGCTAGCAAAATCGCTTTGTGAACAAGAGCCTTGCAGTTGCAATCAGTTTCATCTAAACCATATGGTTCAAAGCCCCAAGCTTCAGTATCCTCTTCTTTTAATAGTTTAGATGCCGCTGAACAAGACTCAGGGCCTACATGCAACATTTTCCGCATATTATCACTGTATGCTTTCTTCAGTACAGATAATGCTCTTTGAAGCTCAGTTGTGCTTCAAACACGACCTAACAATGTGTTCTTGTAGAAGGGCATTCACTGAACCAAGGAACTTGGCCAGAGAGTTTGTCCAGGCTTCGGTGTTTTTACTGCAAATGCAGAAGTACAAAGGTGCGGAAAAACTGTCTCTAGGTGTCAATTTTAGTGCCTGTAGACAAGGAGGGACGGAGAACCTTTTTCAAGGGATTGATGCACAATGCTTGGTTTTGCCGGACTCTTCTTTTGTGGACAAATAGGAGTTTCATTAATGGCTAATATGATTTATTTTAACTATTTAAATACATTGTAGATTGTACAGATTCACTCTGAATTTCGGACCAGCAATGTATCCCTAGTCCTATCCACATTCTGTGACTTTTAGTACAGCGACACAAGTACACAACATTGGAGCCAATAGCAATAGATCAAAAATATTTACTGATTTCAAGAAAAACAACTCCATAAGCCAAGATCCAAATAAGTATGGTGCAAACATAAGTTTCTGCAACCGAACGACACTTCTACTGATGACAAATAGAGTTGATTGTTTAATCACCAGAATTTCTTCGAAAGGTTCTCAGGCAGTGCAGTGAATGAATCACCCTTTGCATATAAGGTCCAAGATAACCACAGCCATGAAATAACACTTCTACATTTATATGTAGAAAGCAACAAATGTGACAAATTGCTTATAATGATTCCCAGGACAAAATGTTCCAGAATTTCTCTCACAAACGAGAGAAGGTACAGATGTTAAGACCCAGAAAACAAAACATTTTATTTGGACCACATACATCAGATATCAAAATGTTTTGTCCCATTACATAAAAAGAACGACTGAGAAGATTTAAACACAAGAATTCCTCAAAAGAACAGATCACCTAGATTACATTCTAGTACATTCAAAGAAAGCTGCAAATACTTTGACATCTCATACCATGTCGAGAAGATAGAAAGTAAACAACACAATTTTGAAACCAACAAATAAAAAATCTTTGAAGCTTAATTGCATGTGTAAACTCCACTTGAATACCTGTGATCAACCTCATAAAAATCGGCCTTGCCCTCTATAGCTGGCTGCAGAGAAATGCCAGACAAAGATCTAGGCCCTTGGGATGAAAACTTTACGTAACCAAAAAGCACTAGCTCTTCCCCACCATCATCATCATTAATATCTACAGGGAACCTCGCCCTCAGCTTACCAGGATGACCCTTGAGTGGGATCTCATCAACATGCCATTTCAGTTCTCTCTCAGACCGGTTCAATACAGCTTTGGGTGTAACTTTCAATAATGTGGGGTCTACTGGCAATTTCAGGACAAAGGTTACATTGGTTAAAGGAACTGGAAGATCAGGATTTGCAACGTACTGCAGCATTACAGAGAGTAATGTCCCACTAAGACGCTTAACAAGTCGAATCCTCAAAGGCAATGGAGTTAAACGCGGCAGCAAACTGTACTTAATAATAGGTATAGGCTCATTTGAATGTGCTGTCTTCACATGAAACAAACCATTCCCAAGGCTGCTCACATGAGAGTTTTGCACGACAAACCTCTTAACACCAGCGGTGCCTTCAACCTTGAAGGAAAACTCAGTTTCCTTATCATCAGAAGACTTCAGGGGCAGTGTTCTTAAGAAAACAACGCCCATCAACCCAACCCTCGCAAGCAATGATTCTCTGAACTCCGCACTGATCTCCTCGGTGATGAACATTTCTGGACCATTCATTTTCTTCACCAAAATATCCTCAAGTTTTTTCCCAGCACCACCATCAGTAGCAGCTCCAGCTGCAGCTTTAGGTGGTTCACTAGTCTCCAGTAACTCAAGCCCACCAAGACCCTGATCTTTCTTCACCTTTTTCGTTCCCACATACTCTGAAGCATCTAATCCACCACCCCAAGCATCATTAATCCCTTCAAAATCCTGCTGCAGAGTTGATCCGTCATTACTAAACTCTATCCCACCATAATCCCCTTCAAACCCTTCCACACCAATATGGGTTGACTGGGTGGCTGCAGCAGGTGGCAAGGTAGTCACCTCAAGCCCTGCCAATGCTTTCGATACATCCGAACTATCCTTATCCTTATCCTTCTTAAAATCACCCACCAAAGACTCCGGCTTATTAATCATATCACTTGCAGCAAATGGATCTTTCTCCCCCTCAATCTCCTCAATTTTCTCTTCCTCCTTTTCTCCACCCATAATCGCTAACGATGCTGCCACCTCATCACCCGCCTCCAACGTCTCCTGAGGCAACTCAAACAAGACTTTTGAGAACGATTCCACTCCACCTTCTTGTCCCAACGCATGAGCCTCCACATTCACCCAACTATCAGCTCCCCTGATCTTATTCTCCGTATGAATAGCAGAATGCACCATCTTGGCAATACTCTCCCCGTGCATAGACGCCAACATAGCCGCCAGCCTAATATTACTAACCCCTCTTAACACAATATCCAAAGCCATATAAATCTCTGCGTACTTCTTAGCTAACTTCTCCGGAGTGACATCAACACCCCGGCATGCAGTAACCACCACAGAAACAGCTTGATTCACAATACTAATACACTCAAACACATTATTAACAACCATTTCTTTGTCGTTATTATCATCAGCAGTGGTAATAGCAAGGACATAAATTGAGTTAACAAGGCGGTAAACAACACGGTACCTGGATTCGACACCAACAATAACTTGACCCGAAGAAGCAGCGAGCGGGTCATCACCAAGGGACATAGAAGGATCAGAAGAAGAGTCAGAGGGGGTGGGTAGTTGGGCTTGTTTGGAAAAGGCAAGGCGGGTTTGGCGAAAAGCGGAAAGGGCCATTAGGGCACGAGAAGGAGGGAACCATTCACGGGTTTGGAGTAAGATGTCAGGTCCATTTGTGGGTTGAAGGGAAAGTGCCAAACAAGACATTTTGGAGACTGATGTATAAATCAGATCTTGATAAGTTCTATAGAAAAAGTCTTACAACTGACAGTTCTGTGTGTGTGTGTGTTTTCTAAAGAAAAATCTGAGATTCTAGATCATGTTTCAACCTGCAATTTGACAAAGATTCACTTACTTGAGAGGCGCAGAGAATTGTAGTTTGAGCTTTTCTCATTGCAGAGATCGGAGAGAGGAAGAAGAGAGCTTAGATGATGCGAATGCAAAGAGGATGATCGGACCAATTGTTAAACGGGTCGGGCTTGAACTTTCTTACAAACAAGTTTTTTTGAAAAGTTTTTTTAAAAAAACGGTTTATGTTTAACAATTTAAAAAATACTTTTGTATATCAATTAATGTTTGACCAAATTTATAGGAACTGCTTCTAAGGGGAACAACAACAACACCAATAACAAAAAATCTAGTAGTTTTCTACAAGTGCTGTCTGAGGAGGGTAAGATGTACGCAGTCTTACCCCTACCACTGGAAGGGCAGAGAGGCTATTTCCGATAGACTCTCGGCTAGAAAACGACTAAAAAAGGTAATTGCAATAAGTAGGAATAACAGCAAGCTGAAATAAGATCGAATCCAATAATGCAGTCAAACTTTAGGTAGTAATAGACATCTATGAATAAAAGATATCATACTAACACTAATGCTAAAGAACTGAGTAAGACAAAGAGAAACACTCGACTATCTACGAACCTTTTACCCTAATCTTTGACCTTCACACCCTCCTGTCTAGGGTCATGTCCTCAGTCAACTCCAGTTGCACCATGTCCTGCCCAATAACCTCTCCCCAAGACTTCTTAAGCCTACCTCTATCCCTCCTGGTGTCCACCGAGGCTAACCGCTCGCACCTTCTAACCGGGCTTCTAGGTGTATTTTTCTTAAAAGTGCTTTTCAAAAATATGCTTTCGAGGAGAAGCTATTTTTTTGTGTTTCTCAAAAATTGCTTCTGCTTCTATTCAAAAATATTTTTTTCTCAACACCTCAACTTTGAAAAAAGCATTTTTTTAAAAGAAAAAAAGATAGTAAAACTACCATTTATGTCCATTTATAAGTAGCTTATGACAAAAATTGGCCAATTCATTAAATATTACTAATATAGCCAAATGTTATCAATATTAGCCAATTAGCTATTTGTAGCCAAAAAAAGATCAAATCTTTATTTTCTTTTGAGTGGGTGTTATTAGAATAGATTGGGTACATCTTAAGGGGTTTGAATCTCAATTTTGGGATGATTTGGCGGAGTTTTGAGGTGGTTTGAATTAAAAATGTGAAGTAGAAGATAAAACATAAAAAAAGGATATGTGTATCACACTGTGTATTATTTGTGTTTCACATATGTATTATATTTGTATCAAATGTGTATCACATGTATATCCATGTATACCTCTTTGTGTGATACATGTGTCATAGAAGAATTTTTTGAACTCGATTTTAACTACGAATTTTGATACCAAATCAGTCCAAATCACCTCCAATCTTCCTCAAAATTTGTATATTGACTCATCTATATGTTTTCAGTGAATTTTCAACCATACTCATTGAAAAGGGTCCTTTTTTGCTTAGATTTTTGGAATATTGTATATATTTTTTTTATATTTCATCGCCTCGTTTGCTACCTCATCCATGAAATTTTCTTTCCGTCTTGCATCTAATGTTGCTGATCACGCTTAAAAATATGGAAGGAGATTTTTGCATGTGATTCTTGAAGAGAAAGATCCTTATTTATTTGAATTTTTAATTTTTATATGTGCTTGGCTAGTTTTGGTAAGTCTATGATTAATAGCTAAAGCATGGTAAGTTAGAACTTATTTAGGACATTTATGTAAGATTTTCGAAAAAATACTTTTGGCCTTGGATAATCTTGATCAAACAGGCTATTAGTCCCATTGGCATTTTTTGCTATATATTATGGCTATTTTTAAAAAAAATTAAAAACTTTATTTGTTCCTTGAATATTATCAATTTATAAAAATAAAATTGGAGTCTCGAAAAACTTGCAAATTTTTGGGTGAAATTTTTTTTTTCACTCACAAAAAATTTAATTTTTTTCAAATAAAATCCATGTCTAAATATAACTTTAACTTACAAAAATTATTTTTCAACACAACTTCAATTTTTTTTTTTAAGTTTTAACCAAATCTATGTCCAGACGCTAGGTAGGATTGTAAATGAATAAAAATAAATAAAACAATTTGGGGG